GGGGGGGGGGGGGAGGCGGAGGGAGGGTCGGGCGGCTGGCCGGGCCCCGGCGGGACCAGAGCACAGGCGCGCCGCCTGACGCGAGCGCGAGAGTCGTTCCAGCACCTGCAGGCCCGCGTGAGCGGCTTCGCACGGCCCGCCGATCCCGCCACGATGCCTCGCCCGCGTCCGCCCAGCCACTGGGTTGCCTCGCGTGCTCGCGAGACCCCGGGGTCCTCACTGGTGACATCATACACTACAACTGCCACAGACGAGTCCCGGATGTAGCTGGGGATTAGGCTGCGGAACCGCTCCTGGCCGGCGGTGTCCCTGCGCAGCAGCAGCAGCGTCAGCTTCAGCAGCAGGAGCACCAGCAGCAGCAGCAGCAGCGGCAGCAGCAGCAGCAGCAGCAGCAGCGGCGGTGCTGTCAAGAGCAAGGACCAGGCCTCTGATCCCTCTCGGCCGGCGCAGCGGCCTGATCGCGGCCCCGCCCCCTCGCTGCCTGTGCGCCGCTGGGGTGCCTTGCTGCCGCTTGCTGGTGCTCCCCACAGCTGCACTTCCCAAAAGCCTGAACACGCGACGCTGCCGCGCACCACAGCTGCAGCCGCACAGTCCGATCTTCCAAGTACATGGTCTTAGAAAGAAAGTCAATGCCTATTGTGGCCTGCGGGCGTCAGTTGCGTGGCAAAGAGGCCGCACTGTGTGTGGCAGAGTGTGTCACAGCAGCAACACACCGCAGGCGTTGCCCAGCAGGCTCATGCACGAGCACACACCCACTGCAACAGGTGGTGCAACAGGGTCCACGCCAGGGGGCATGCAGACGGCTGGAGCACGGCGGTGCTAGCGGGCGCGCGTGCTTTGACAGCTGCTGCGATGAGCTCGCGCCAGCGATGCGCAGCAGCGCAGCGGCCGCGATCGCTGCACGCGGGGCGGCTGGCACCTGATAGGTGTTGTCAAACTTGTCATACATGAACCGTGTGATGATGCTGGTCTTGCCGACCGACTGGTCCCCCAGGAACACCTGCACAACAGCCGGTGCAGCGCCAAGTATGGGCGCGCGTCAGATCCGCTGGCGCAGCAACAGGCGGTGCCGGGGCCCCTGGCCTCCGTTTCTGTGTGATCATGGAATTCATTACCGGACGCACCAGCTTGTATTTAGCGAGGGGGGCGTTCGCCATCTCGTGCTGTTCGCTCTCCCCCCCAAAGTCGCGGCCAGACTGTGCCTTTGATGACTGCACCAGCGATAGGCAACCCCGCTGACACTCGGTTACAACTACAACGATGGCCTGGTCCGGCCCTCGCGCCGAGAGATTCACAACACAACAGCTATAAAGACAGGTGGCCTGGCGCTGATGGTATCGTCGTTGGGCAAGTCAACGTGATAAGATGCATGTCACAATGTCGTGTGTGCCTGCATGCGGCCTCTCTGTCAACGGAGACAAGTGTTGATCTGGGTGACTAAAGCAGGACAAACAATCAGCAATAGTGAGACAATAGGCTGTCATTTACTAATTGCAATTCGGATACACAATTGATTTTTTGTGCAGACGTGATCGTACCTGTACGCCTGTAGATCCATCTCCGCAAGGGATTATCTACAAGGAGGCGCATAAGCAGCAGAAGTCTAGTGAAAGTGTCGTATGGGAGGTGGTGGCGCCCTCGGCGGCGAAGGGCCGTCGGTCGCGCAGGTGTGCCCTGCATGCTCAGCTGTGCGTTGCACCTCCTGCTTGCTGCATCAATGCACGCACGATACATTCGTACAGCTGAGGGGTCTGTCAGCTGAGCACCCACCGGTACACGGCGCTTATGTCAGTTGCCCACAGTGTTCATCAGAACGCAGCTGATAACAGCCGCGGCAGCCACGGCAACCCCGGCTGGCGTACCCTCACCTCGCACTCCCCCTCACACACGCGCGCGTCGCGGGCGCGCCCGCCACACCCCCATCCCCGTCCCGCCCAGCCGCCCCGCCTGACGGGTGTGCTGCGCGCGCTCATCACGGACCACGGCGCAGCCTTCGACGCCGACCAGGCCTTCCTGCGCCGCCAACAGGCGCTGCGCGCGCGGGAGCAGCAGCAGCACCGCCCGCAGCACCCGCAGAAGCAGCAGCAGCTCGCCGGCGCGGGCCAGTCGCTGCAGCTGCGGTTGCTCGGCCCAAAAGGTGTGCGCGCCGCGCGTCTGCGACCGGCGGGATTTCTGATGCATCCGCACGTTCTGCTGGCCTGCAAACCTTCGCTTTGCCGCCCCTCGCGCGCAGCGCACGCCAGCGCAGCCGCAGACGCAGCACACTCGCCCTGATTGGACGTCGCGCCGCCGGCGCCGGCTCTATCACAACCCCCTCCACGCCGCCGCACGCCCGGCGAACCGGCCCCGCAGCCCCCAAGGCGGCGCGGGATGACTACGAGGCGTTCGTCGCCGCCGTCCGCGCCCTGGTGGGCGGCGACCCCCCCAGCGCTGAGCTGGCGGAGCTCGCGGCGGCGGCCTGGGGCGTGGTCGGCGCCGGCAGCGGGCTCGCACGCGGGGGGCTGGAGGCGCCGGAGGGCCTCAAGCTGCACAGGCCAGGGCTGCTGCAGGTGGGCCGGGCGCTGGGGAAAGGGGCCTCGGGGGCGCCGCGTTTGTGGGTGCAGCCATCATGTCCCGCACAGTGTCAACTTCGCCCACCAGGGTGATGGCGCTCCATGCTGCCTGGAGCGGCGAAAAAGAGCATTATCGCGTCCACATTCGCTCTCTTTTTGAAACCTGCACGCACTCACTCCGGATTGCTGCCCTGCTCCACGATTTAATCCACCCAGGACCGCCAGCTGGCGCCCTACGCGGCCGCCCTGCGCGCCGCCCTGCAGCATGTCGAGCCCGGCGCCGTGGCGCGCGCCGTGGAAGCTGCTGGGAAGCTGCGGGCGCGGCGCGCGCAGCTCGGGCTCCCGGACGACGACGGGGACGGCCCGGCGGCGGGCGGTGGCGTGGTTGGCGCGGATGAGAAGAGGTTGGGGCGCAAGTCGCAGCAGGCGCAGCCGCAGCTGATGGCGAGGGAGTGGGGCGCGGACCTGCGATTTGTCCCCCCAGACGAAGGCCCCGGCGGCGGCGGCGCCCACGCGTACATCTCGCGGATCTGCGGCGCGGCCGCGGCGGACGGCCCCGCGGCTGTCACCGCGGCCGGGGCGCGGCCGGCGGCGCCGGGCGCCGCCCTCGCCACCCCGGGGGAGCTTCTTGAGCTGTATGCTGCCGGCATGGGCGGCTCCCGCCCCGCGGTGGAGGCGGCGGCGGCGGCCGGCGAGGTGGACGGGGACGCGGCGTTCGCGGCGGCGCTGGCGGCCGAGGAGGCGGGCGGCGGCGGCGGCGGTTACGGCGGTTACGGGAGTTATGGGGCTGCTGGGGGTGCGGATGAGGAGGTGGACATTGGGAGCGACGATGACGAGAGGCGCAAGGGGCGCAAGGTGGGGGGGAGGGGATGACGCTGGCAGTTGCAGGGTGGCAATTGAAGTGTGGCGTTTGAAGTGGGCTGAGGCGCTGCAGGGAAGCGCCACGGGCCGGGCCCTGCATAGGGTGCGGGGCTGGCGACGAAGGTCGGAGCGATGGGGGTGGCGCACGCGGCATGGCGTGAACGGCATCGGGCTGTCATAAGGGGTGTGGTGGGGGGGGCTGCGCAGCCCTTGTGACATCGGGAGTCGAGGGCCCGACAATCATAAACAGCGACCGCCGCGGCGACCGCCCCCCTCCCCAGCTGCGCCGCCCCTCCCATCGACTTGCGCCGCGCCGCGCCACCCCTGCCCCCTCTTACATCGTCCTGCCCCCACTTTCCCCTCTCCTCCCTCACGCGGCCCCGACT